GCTGAAGACAGCAGGTGACACTCCTTCTTCTGAGGGTGCATGAGTAGGCCAAGGTGAAAGTGAAAGCAGTCTTTAGGTCCATCCCTTTTGGATGACATCGTGGCTTGTAAGCATTAGCACAAATTAGGGGGATGAGTGACTTACGATGAGTTTACCCAGAAATGCATGTTGTCCTCTCTTCGCTGGTTGTCCTACATTTGAGAAGTAGAAATTGTCACACTAAATGATATTTCTCCCCACTGTCACCTTCCTCAATTTAGTTCCCTTTCTTCTGCTTGCATTGGTGCACATAGCCAATATTTTTCATCCCCCTTCTCCTGGATGGTGTGAGCAAAAGGTCGAGAGGCCTCACTATAATTTACAAGCTGACGCATTTCCAATACCATCATTTTTGTGGCAATCAGCCGCAAACAAGCATTGGTGAATGGGGCGGAAGACCAGCTTGTAGGACTTTGCCAGTCCCACCTTGCTGGGAGAAAAGAGGTCCTGTCCCCATGCTGCCACCTGCCAGCCCCACGGTCCCCCATGGCTGTTTCTTCATGTCACCTCCTTAAATGTCCCATGTGGAGAGGGGAGCCGCTGGGCAAGCCCAAGGTGGCCTCTTGTAACCTCCCTCTGTAACTCATCTTCCACTGCCGGCCTCCTAAGAGCAGGCTCCCAAGGTCTGCTCCTTCTCTTCGTCCCCAGACACATTTTTACTTGCTGATGTAAGCAAAAAGCTTAAATTTTTGGAAGAACATCCGTGGGAAGCAATTTTCTTCCTGAACTCAGTGTTACTATTTTGATGCTATCCCAGGTTAATCTTTATTTCAACAATGATGTGTAGACATTTGTGGGACTGTCTGCTTAATGTATATGTACAGCTGTCACCTAGAAAATAAACTGCTCAATTCATAAAAACAGACCACAGCATATAGAGATGGGAAGTTCAAAATAATAATAATAATATGTCATCATCTTTTAAATTTTAAAGATTTTATATTTACTGAACAGTCAATCTGATCTCTCCCATTTAGTTCACATCGCTAACTTTATGCTCTCTGGTTAATAATCATTTGATGGCTCTTTCATTCCTCTGCCTTTCCAGAAAACATTTTTTTTCAACATGGAAATTCTAAGCCTCTGTGAGACATGGTATTTTGGGATTTGAAAAAACCTAGTAGTAGTATAGCACTAGAGAAATACTCTAAATAAGAGGTGGCTGACAAAGAAATAGTTGCTGCTTCTGCTAAAAGTTAGTTCATATTATGAAAAATTAAATTTTAGTGGATGTTCACTAAGGGAAAAGTGTATGTTTCTTTGTGGCTCTAGCCCTTAGGGCTGTTTGTAGGAATATGCAGAGGCTTGTGTGGCTATGTACAGCAATTTTATGTAGATTGTAACATGTCTGGTTTATTAAAAACAGTTTGAGGGCATCTTGAATGTTTGACTAATATTGCAGAGCTTACACAAAATTTACTAGACTTACTTATGCAAAAATGTTAAGTGCAGTTTGAAGAAAGAAGGGATGATGCTCTAGCATAATAAGAACAACTGACTTGGGGAAGATTTGCTATCGAAGCAGAACTAAGAAATCTGGGAACTCAGCCTGACCATGGAAACTACTTCTCTCACCACAAATATGACATGTACATTTTATGAAACCTATTTATTACCAGGGGCCAAATTCTGTGGTCCTTATGCAAGCACAACTTTCACTGAAAGTTCACTGAGGATGGTAGAATTTGGCCCCGAGCTATTTCTTTTCCATAGAAAATTACTTCATTTGTAATTTCCTCTTCTTATATTTCTCAGTAACTGCAGAAATGTGAGCTAGTCATTTAATTTCAAGTGAATAAGAAGCTTTGAGGACTCTGTGAAACTGCAACTTTATCTTTCAGTGTAATAGAATAAAGGAGTAAATTTGTGGACGTGATGTTTTACTTAGAGGAAAAAAACATATTTGGATAACTACATAGACAGGAAACCAATGTAGGTGCGTGAGTTTTTCCATCTAAGTAAAATGAGAGAGATTTGGGGTTTTGAACTGAAGAGCAGTGACTTGGGATGTTACAAACAGCTGAATTAATATTGGATTTCTGGGATGTTTCTGTGAGCACAACGCAGCCACGAGCTAGCGCTGATTGAGATCTGGGTTACTTACATTACCCTAGCTAATTTTATTAGTTTGGTTACTAATACCATATAATATACCAATACTAATACCTTGGCTGGTATAGTCACTTCTCCGAGGCTAATATCAGTATGTCCGTACTGTGCTGTACAGTGCCTTGTAGACGCATCCAGTGGGGAAGTGGAGTCGGAGAATAACGGCATGGAATATGTAGGGGGCTCAGGCAAGGGCGGGGATTTGACCCTTGGGGCGTTTGTTTGGTACCCTGCAAATTTGGATTCCTCAGAGAGGGGGCCGGGACTGGTTGGAGTCAAATGGCTGAATCAAAAGCTGCTCCTATCAGCTAGCTACTGAGCAGAATAGCCATAGCCCGTAAGCAGCCGTTACCTATGGCATCCCTTTTGGCCATTTCCATTATGTGACCAAAGATTTAATAGCCATGCAGGAGAAATAACAAACCCATTGTAGCAGTTTGCTGTTAGCGTATGCCCACGCGGTGCTTTGCCAGCAGACTTCAACATGTTCTTCCCATTCTTCTCTCTTTGCCAGTCTTGCGAGCCTGAGCTCGATGCTCCCAGTCGGGGTAGGGCCAGCCTGCAGAGCTGCACTGGAGCTAGTCCCATTGCCTCAGCATTGGATTACCTCTAAAGGCACAGTTTGGAGGAGCTGCTGCTGCAGTTCATTTTCATGAATAAACCAACAGCATAAATTTTCCTGCGTTGGCTCTTTGTGTTAGCAAATACATTTAAAACCGTCAGTTTCAGGTTTTAGCTGTGAGTTAGCTTTCTTTTCCAGAGTGAATTGCATTACTGATGCTCTTTGAATGTGACTTACCCAAGATTAATTTCTGAATTATATATAAATTGCTTAATCACCTGTGAAACTTAACAACTTTCAACTTTTCATTTCATTAGCTGTGAGACGAATGTCGATTAAATGTGTTTGGAAGGCCAGAGCTTGATGACACATGCAGCAAACACTGCTGAGGACTCTGTTTCATTTAATGCAGTAATAATAAACACTCCGTGGGCAATATTTCAGCAATCAAGAACGCTTTTGCAGTCTTTTCTATCTATAAGTGTTTGGCTAAATGACAAAATTGGGGGCGGGGGGGCGTGGGGTAAAAAATGAGTCAGACTTATTGCCTTAGTGTAACCTTCCTGGCTGAAAATATATTAATTGGCAAAATGAATGACCTCAGACCAGAGCAGAGAAAGGCCTCCATTGTGCACGGCTGTGGCGTGAAACCTATACTCTTTGGCTTGCACATTCTTTCCTCGGCGTCGTGATCCGTCCCGTCCGATCAGCAGGCTTCAAAGTCAGCCTTGCAAGATTTATAGCGCCTTTCAATTGGAAGCTCTTTCATTTTGTGCATTAAGCCAAATTACTTTGAAGTATTTTGCGGTGAAAAGCCTCCTCCCTGTGCAGAAGCTGCTCCCAGCTTCTTCCCGCGATGCAGCATGGTGATACTTCAGCCTGCAAGGGTTAACATGTGAGAAAATGAGTCATTATTTCTTCTTTTATACAAGAGCTCAATGCCTGGAGTGCTTGCCAGGATCACATGAGACCCAAGAATAGAGCCTACCTCCTTCCCAGCCCTAAGGTTGAGGTCCAGCAATAACCTTGGGTAGCAGCAACCCAATCATCTGCTGGGATGGAAGGACTAAGGCAGTCACCCAGGAGCTGCCTGGGTTTGATCAGATGACAGCTCCATGTAATATGCTTGCCTTGTGGCAAGGACTTGAACCAGTCTCTGGCCCAAAGCATTTCTAGATCATTGCTTTTTTTTCCAGTCCAGCAAACAATTGTTGTTTCTAGTTGAGATTGAAGGGGAAAGCAATGCAATCTTGGGTAAAACAAGCATGGTTGTCATCTGTCTTTTGAGTAAAAGGGGCCATAATTCATGTGTTTTATGCTCCATTATTACTCTCTCCTTCTCCTTTTTGTTATATATTCAAAGAAAGGAACAATCCCATTTTTTTCAGGGACCCTCAGTGAAGAATTTGGTTAGCAGAAGGCGTCTTGCTGATTCCTGGCTGAAAATAAGTATAACAGACTGGCAAACCTAACATGAACTTGTAAAACTCTTCATTGTCTTTTTTTTGGATTTGACAAAGCAAAAGCATTAAGAGAATAAATACTGAGATATTGCACATGAATAAACATGGTATTTCTCACTTGTTTCTGCTCATGAGAGTCAAGTATTAGAATAACAAGGAGGATGAAAGCCCTAGGTTAAATAAGTTCAGTCCAATTTCCCGTAAACCAATATCTCATCCAAGCGAGCGTTATTTGCTGCTATAGATGGTAGATGGTTGCTTCTACAGAGGAATCGAGTCTGAATGGGGCTGGAGACTGTGCAACCTTCTCACCCACTCAGAGGTCTCCCCAGGTCAGGGGTGCAAACGGCAGTGGAAAAGCTGTGCGGAAAGCTGGGGTTTGCCACTGTTTCCACTCTATTTGTTCTGCGGATAAATAAATTGAGGGCTGGAGTTTTCACGGCTGTCAGTGTGCCACCTTTGAACGTCTTCTCTTAGAGAAATAGGAAAGTCAACCACATGTTCAAATTGGTCCTAATTGTTACAGGAAGGCTTCTGAGCGGTTCCAAGACCATCTTTTTCCGCTGAGCTTGTATTACAAAATATTTCTGGAATTAGATGGAGCAATAAAAATAACAACAACTTTTTTCTTTTTTCTTTCACAACTTGTACTTTATGTCGAGATGCCTTTGAAACAAATCTGACCCTGTCCTGTGTGTTGAATTGGCTTTCTTGCTCTGTGAACTGTGACATGCTCAAGCGCTAGGCTTTAAACTGGGGATGGCAGACCTCGGATTAGCATGGTGGTATTTGTAACCTCTAGCATTTTGTATCCCACTTTCCCGCAGGGTCTCCTGCCCTCACTGGCACTGGAACTATTGCTGTCAAGGTGGATGATGTCAATGACAATGTGCCCACATTCGCCTTTAACGTGTATTCTGCCACTGTTCCAGAGGATGCACCTACGGGGACAGACATTTTGCTCGTAAACTCCTCAGATGCTGACGCTTCTACAAATGCTGTTGTTAGGTAGGCTGTTTACTGTTGCTCTATGTAATAATGCCTCATACCTTGCCTGAAGACTTTTTTTCCCCTGTGTCCATCACCAACATGCCATAAAACTGTAAGACACAAAAAGACAGCTGTATATGTGTAGCTAAATTATTTCAGCAAATCTGCCTTTTTTTTGTTTTGTAGGCTTTTAGAATTATATTAAGGACACGTAGAGGTGCAGTACTAATTTAGGTTTTTGTGAAGTGAAAAGCAAACAAGTTTAACTTGCACCTGAGTGTAACTGTTAATAAGCTATATTTATATTTCTCAATAAGTGTAGATGTAGATGAATTAAAACAATAAAAAACAAAGAAACCCTGAAACTCCAAATAATATCATATATGGATTAAGCACTTCAGCTTGCAGTCTTTATATATAAATTCTCTACATAAAGATATATGATATAGGCTGTGAATGATCATCATTACTGACTGCCATCAGCTTGTGCAGCCTTTGGAAAGGCTTTTGCCTTCTATTTGGCATAGCTTTTAGAATTGAGGCCTTGTAATGAAGGATATAGTTAATAGATACAATATAAATCTTTTAAAAAGTGTTCCTGAAGAAACTAGAAACCATTGTTCTTGGAGGCTGACAGACTTTTTAACTATTAAGTGAAGGAGCTTTCAGGAAGGCCTTGGTGGGGAAGAGGAAGATGTACTTTTCAAACATGATTAACAAATTTGCTACAAAAGCTGACTTTGGGGCAGAGATTCTTTTTTTCACTTACACTCATCTGAAACCACTCACCCTAAAAAAAGTACAAAATGTATTTTGCAGCTCTAGTCATCTTTAATTTTTAAGCTAGGCAAATTTAGAAATCAGTATCACTTTTTTTGCATAAAAATGTCCAAACTAGTGGATAGTGTTAATTTTGTGATACATATATTTGGGGAAGGCTTAAATGGCTTTTCAAACCTAACTGTAGTTTAGATGACTTATGCTTATGCAGACTTGGATGCATTTATAATAAACTAGCCGAGCAGGTACAGTATCACCCAACATGCTAAAACACATTACAGGAGAAACTGCGGACAGCTAAACGGTCAACAGAAATCACTACCTGCCTTGCCACTGCATTCATGTCTTTTCATGGCATAATCAATTTTCACTGAAAGCCAACATGTTCCTTGGGTAAATTTATTGTTGGTTAACGTCTTCAGTTTAGAATAAAAATTACACAAGGCAAGATGTAAAGTTTATTCCATTCAGAAAACCAATAAAAATTTAGAATTTGGCATTTTTGCTTTAAATGCCAAATGGTTTGCAGAGCTCAGTTGATGTAATGTAGCTGGGCACTGGGCTGAATACTGGCCGTTCCCAGTTTCACAGACAAGAGTAATGAGGATGCTAAGTGGCAGTGACAAGCTGAAGATTATCCACTGAGGACTGATTTATTGCTAAAGGAATACAAAGCAGGTTCATATTAGTTATTAATCGGAAGGACATGTAGGTAATCTCATCACACTTAACTGTTGTGACTGCAAACACCTGTGTATCTGTTTCCAAGCTTACAAAACAGGATATAAAAGTAGCTCCTTTATTTACTTTTGTTAGTTCACCTCAGTTCATTCTTCAAAGTGCATAAGAATACCACTGTGGTTGTCATTTTTTTAAAAAAAGGAAGTGAAATAAACCAGATCTATGTTATGGCGAAGCAAGCGTGTATAAAATAGTGTAATATTTTCTTTCCAACTAGCTACAAGCCAAAAATAGGAACTTTATGTTTTGGCATCTTCAAATATTTGAAAAGCATCCAAAATTACCATTTATTAAATTGTGAAACAATGAAGCTTTTAATTCTGTTCACTCTCACTCTAAGAAAGTATTTCTGGCAAGCTCCTTTAGAAAAAAGAATTCCATACAAAGCATGAATGATTGTAATGATTACATCCCATAATCAGAAGTTATCAGGGTGCTCTTGGATTTCTTTAGTGTGGTTGAATTGCTTTAATATCTCTGCCATTAGTCTTTGTCATTCACTCAGTACCTCATAGTAGAATATTTGATAAAAATACATTTTTCCTTTTTAAGTAGCTATTTAAAAATTGTTTTCGGGTTTTGTTTTACACTTTCTAGACTCAGGAACGTACTTTGTTTTTCTTGGACAGAATTTGTCCAGATTCAGCACTGAGTAATGCAAATTTTAAAATATGGTTCGTATTACAAAACTAGCAAAAGCTGGAGGGACCAGAACACTTGAGGTCGTCTTGTCAGAGGTGTTGAGCACTCAGAACTCCTTTTCAGTCTTTTTAGAGCCTGTTTCAGAGTCAAACCTTTGGTTTCCAAAGATGGTATGTAAAATCCTCTGCTAAAGTTTTCATGTAAAGTCAAAAAATGGACTGTGTCATGCAAGAAATAGATAATCTTCTTCAAAACTGTTACATATCCATACTTCCTGACTCTTTTTCTCATATTTCTGGTAATAACCTGTGAAATCATTAAAGGAGGCTGATGAGGTTGTTAATAGCAATGCACACTTGCGCAGTCTTGTTAAAGATAACATAGATAAGAGGGGTCAGCACAGACTAGTCAAAAGACCAGATTTTAAGCACTTTAGTCAAATTCCTTTTATGCTAGTCACCATTAAAGTTTTGGGCCTTGGCAGATTTTTGTAACTATGCTGAGGCACACTTGCATTGTCCAGTTGGTTTGCATGCGGTTGTACTCAGATATGATTCAGAATATCCTATGGCAAATGTAATTTGTCTTTATTCTCTTTTTAAAAAAAAATGTTTTCATAGCATCTTTTCTAATGCTAAAGCTTGAGCTGTTCTATATATGTGGAAATACAGAAGACAAAGTCCCTGTCTTCTGTCTTCACACAGGGTTAAAACGTTGCAAATCACAGATGAAATTTTTCCATGCTGCTGGTATTTAGGGAGATTTAAGTAGTGCTTCAGGCTTTGTGCACATTCTTTCCACCCTAGATGCACATTGCCATGGCTGGAGAATAATTACATATGGCCATTGTATTATATCATAATTAAGCAATTAAAATATGCTCATGGCACTCTGTAGAGATTAATGACTGAACAGGAGAAGTTGCCATAGCTTATTACACAGACTGACTATCAATCCTCTAGGTATCTGGTCTTTGTTATTATTTCTGTCATAACCTGTTCTAATTTTAAAAAGGTGAAGATAGGAATATTACTCTTTTTCATAAAAGTAATTTTCTTCTGAATCTTATAAAATCATATACTTCAAAAAAGCTGCTACTGTGCTGTACCAGCCTTCTCTGAAGAAGTAATGGTAGCCACAGCTGTGTTGATTTTTGTCAGGGTTTTAAAATTGAATATGAGAATTGTTCATTTTAGCCAGTTTTTGTTTTGGTTTTTTTGTAAGAAGACCATTATCTGAATTAATTAAAAAATCTAATATTAACCAGTTACCTTTAAAAATACAGCCCAGTGCTCCACATGTCTTTGAGATTCATTCTGTATGAGCATAAGCTGGGTAAGCATTCAAAGAGAATTCACTGTGCTAGTAAGCTAGAGGTAACTCATACAAAGCACTGCAGTAAGCATACAGTCAGTTCGTATCAAATCACATTTTTGCACACGCACACGGATGTGTGCACACACATACACACTAATCAAGGGTCAAATTCTGTCCCAATTAGTCTCTATTAATTTACCTCTGTGGTTACTAATTTGCTATGCATTACTATGAATTAACATTGAAATCTTGAATAGCAAAACTTAGCTCAGTATCAGTAAACAATATGAATTATAAATCCTCATATTGTTTTGTAAAATTGTCATCCTTTTATTTCAGAAAATGTTATTTTTTCTAATTATAGTCTGCGGATTCATTTGAGAGGTGTGTCAGCCTTTTGGAAAAACACTTAATGCATTAGCCCAGGGAAATCAACACTAGAGAATGCCTCCAGTAGGCCATTTTGAGAGTATGTCTGACCATATCTCCAAATGTGCAAAGGCTCAGCCTGCTCCTCATTTATTAGAAATCTGTGTTAAGCAACTACAGTTGGAAATCCCCAGAAATGTCATTTATGAGAGGTCTCGAAATACGGAAGAGAAGAAAAGTCAAGACAGATGGACAGTCAGAAGAAAATCTGTGTGTTGATACCCATCAGCATTGTGGTCTGAAGAGTACAGAAATTTGTTGTTATCTTCAGGCAGCAGGCTGCCTTATGAAATACTAATGGAATTTTTCTTCCTTGTTTTTTCTTTTTTTCTTTCAAACAGCTATAGGCTCACCGGTGGCAATTCGCAATTCACAATCAACCCATCAACGGGACAAATCATCACGAGTGCTCTCCTCGATCGAGAGGTGAGGGAGAACTACACTTTGGTGGTGGTGGCAAGCGACAGGGGCTTCCCCAGGGCTCTCTCCAGTTCTACCAGCGTGCTCGTCGCCGTTGCTGATGTGAATGACAACCCGCCCAAGTTTCAACACCACCCCTATGTCACCCACGTCCCATCGCCTACCACTTCAGGTAACCTGATCAATGGCAGTGCTTGGGATACTTCAGGTTGCATAAACAGCTTACCAAATGCAAAGCTGTGCCACGGGAAATGTTGCTGAGATGTGCCTCTGCAGCTGTTTTCCAGGTTTTGTTATCTTTGTGTTATAGGGAATGACTAACGGCATGCTGAATATATCACACACAGTTTAGCAGGGTTTTTTAGTTTGTTCTTTCCATCCAAATTCAGTTATTTTCCTGCACTTATGTAAAGATGACATAGTGTAAATGAGCACCCACTCAAGTGATTAAATTATTTTGCCAGGGTAGGAAGGCAATGGCCTCTTTTTTCCTCTGCAAGTCTCCTCCTGCATGTAAAAGTTCTTTTCCCACCCTGAGCTATTCTTAAAGAGAATTTTGTCAACCTCTTCCAAAAAGGCCGTATCTGTATCAGGTGTTAATTATGTTGCCTTTTCTTGAGCCACGTGGTGAAGTAAAATAAAAGTAAAGCCAAGCAGCAACCTTCCTCGTCTGGAACCTACACGCAAATTAAAGTAACTTCACTCAATTCAGGAATTAATTTCTGATTCAGTTTATGTTTAAACAAGCCTGATAAAAAAAATATATTAGAAATTATTAAGTCCAAAATACTCACACTTTCTGTGTGCAAAATTGGCATCGCAAAGAGAAAGAAAGGAGAATACGTGTATTTGCACGAGGATGGAAAGAATTTGCTGAAAGATTCTGCTATGCTAAGATTTTTTTTCCAAGATTTAAAATGGACTAATATCAGGACTTTTACTATCTCAAAAAAGTGTTTTATGATATGATCACTGTATTACCACAGATTCACCAAACTGCAGTCAGAGGCTTGGCTGTGGAAATCGGCAACACTGTGTGTTTTCACATGCATGCATGTACATGGATATGTGATGCCTACAGAGAGGATTCCAAGAGAAATGGTTTTCAAAACAAATTCTCCTTTAAAAGAACAAAAAAGGGGTTTATTTCCATGTCTTGGGTTTTCTCTCTAAATTTTAAACAATTGCAAATACTTCTCCTTTTTATGGAAGAATGAATTTGTTTACATTTCTTCCCTGTTTCCAGAACAACATTATGAAATTATTTTATTATTGCATTGGTGAATCTTTGTGTATTCTGGCCAGGGCACAGTGCCTTTGTGTGGTTCTTTTTGGGGTGTTTCTTTAAATGTGTTTATGAGGAGTACACATAAGTTTAACTGATGTTTTCTGGCAGTAGTGTCTTTTTGGATGCTTTTGGTATGTAACCCATTATAACTGGAAACATATAGAAAGCCTAAGCTATGGTTACTCTGGTTTTAACTTAGCAAAAACCTAGGGGTGCATGCACTTTTTTTATTTGCAACTTCCTCCGTTGATAATTCGCTTTCATTTAAAAGAAAATGTTAATATCTTTTTCACATTATTTTGAAAGGCTGTGTCAACATCATTGTCAAATGATGTTACTAGCAGGCATGTCATCCATTAAAAAAAAACCAAACAACTTTATTGCCATCCAATGTAGAGTCTGCAATAGCTTTTCCAAAAAAAACCCAAACACTCAGAACTTAATCAAGACTTTTGCTTTTATTCCAATAACAGAATATCTCGCGTACATTTTGAAAGAAAAAAAGCTTAATTTCCTTGTTGTTTTTAAATCAAGTTTAAAAGATGGAACTAGTAATAATAATAATAATATAATTTGCTTAATTGAGGTAAAAATCTTAATTTTTTCCTGTCCCATTTCTCACAAAGTTTTGAGTACTGTTCTTGGCTAAATATTCCTTCCCCTGGAGTACAAATAATTGCACATGACAAATAGTGCCACGAAGTATAGTTTTAAGGGGATACTGTCAAACTCATTCCTGTCTGTAAATGATTTTGCCTTCAGTGGTTGAAAACAACATGATTTTTATATAGGAGTGGGTATTTTCTAGATTTCACTACCAGTAAAACATCAACTGTTCTGCAAATTGGTTGGACAGTGTCAAATTTGAAAGATGTGCCCTGCATCAGTTCTGTAAACTCTAGTGCAAAAGAACACTCTGGATTCTCCTTGTAAATAGGCAAATATGGAGGTTAATGCAAAGCTGCCTGTATAGTTGAACTCATTGTGAAGCAAAAATTCAAAAGACCTGAAACATAATATATTCATGTTAATGCACTATTGTGCAATAGTTTTTTTTTTTTTATATGTGATTTTACCCCTATCTCGGAGGACTAGCATGCTTTTTCAAATGCAGTCCTGTTAGTTACCGTTCTCAGAGTACTCTTACAAAATCAGAAGCAAGATGCTACTGCAGAAAAAAAGGAACAGCCTCTGGAGAATAGGAAGAAAAGCAGCTGCAAGGGAAAGTGGGTGTGTAGGGTAAGTGTCCATGGGTGCTGTCTGTTCACTTACGTAACCTTAATAGTTGTTGAATTCCATGGGGTTTTTTTACATGCATAAATAAACTGAGTAATTAAAAAAAAAAATCAAAATAACATTCAATCTTATTAGGTTTATGGCTTTCATAATGTGAACTTTCTAGAAATGGGATGCTGTACTTCCAGAAAGTTTCAGGTCCATTTTCCAGTGCGGATGTATGTGCAGCTACTGACCTCCATTCAAACTCACATTTTTTGGCCGTGCACACATCTTGCGGGCTCACAAACTCACCTACCCCTTGTTGAACTTACAACCTTGTGAAAAAGTGGTTCATTTTCAGAGCAGTGTTAGGAAGAGCACAGTGCTCCAGGACAAGTACTGGGAGGGAGACCCTCTCAAGAGCTTCCAAGTGAAAAGCTGGTGTCACATTTCCCGCAACGGGTGCATCTGAAGTTGCCCTAACTTTGTTCTCCGTTTCAGGCTCGTTCGTGTTTGCTGTAACTGTCACCGATGCAGATGCCGGCTCCAATGCTGAGCTCCATTATTCCCTTGTGGGGAAAAACTCCGAGAAATTCCACATCGATCCAGCAAGGGGAGCGATCCTGGCTGCGAACCCACTAGTAGGAGAATCTGAAGTCACCATTTCTGTTCACGTGAGGGATGGCGGCCGGTACCCTGAGACAGATTCTACAACCGTCACTGTGAGGTTTGTGAACAGAGCAGAATTTCCTCGCGTTCAGGCGGATCAGGAGACCTTTACGTTTCCTGAAAACCAAGCGGTTGGTACGCTTGTCACCACCGTCTCCGGGTCTTCAGCCAGAGGAGGCTCCTTGTCTTACTACATCGCCAGTGGTAACCTGGGCAGCACCTTCCTGGTCGACCAGGTGACAGGACAGCTTTCTGTCGGGCGGGCTTTGGATTTTGAAGCCATACAGAAATACGTGGTTTGGATCGAGGCCAGAGATACAGGCTTTCCTCCCTTTTCCTCGTATAAGAAACTGGAAGTAACGGTAATAGATGTCAATGATAACGCGCCGGAGTTTGAGCAAGATCCCTTCATTGCAGAAATAGTGGAAAACCTGTCCCCACGGAAGATACTGACAGTGGCTGCTGTCGACAGGGACAGTGGTCTAAATGGACAACTAAATTATGAAATAATTGAGGGCAATATGGAAAATAGTTTCAGTATCAATCGAGCCACTGGTGAGATCAGAAGTGTCAGGCCCTTGGACAGGGAGAAATTGCCTCGATACACACTAACCATAAAAGCTTCAGATAAAGGCACCCCACTCCAGAGCACAACAGTCAAAGTTATTATTAATATTTTAGATGAAAATGACAATGCTCCGAGGTTTTCCCAGATATTCAGTGCTTCTGTGCCTGAAAATGCACCTCTGGGTTTTACGGTAACCCGAGTCACAACTTCAGATGAAGACATTGGGGTGAACGCCGTCAGCAGGTACTCTATAAGGGATACAAGTCTCCCATTTACCATAAATCCCAGTACTGGGGACATCACCATCAGCAGACCACTAAACAGGGAGGACACAGACCGCTACAGAATCAGGGTCTCTGCACATGACTCCGGGTGGACGGTGAGCACGGATGTCACCATATTTGTCACGGATGTCAACGACAATGCCCCACGATTTACAAAGCCATCCTATTACTTGGAGTGTCCTGAGCTTCCTGGGATTGGGTTGAAGGTCACTCAGGTTTCAGCTACTGACCCTGATGAAGGATCAAACGGCCAAATCTTCTACTTCATAAAATCCCAGTCCGAGTTCTTCCGAATTAATGCAACCACGGGGGAAATTTACAACAAGCAGTATTTAAGGTACCAAAACTCTAGCGGTTCAAGCAATGTCAACATTAATAGGCACAGCTTCATAGTTACTTCTTCAGACCGAGGCAGTCCTCCATTAATGAGCGAGACAACCGTCACCATTAACATAGTAGACAGCAACGACAACGCACCACTGTTCCTTGCTCATAAATATTTTACTCCTGTTACTAAGAATGTGAGAGTTGGCACAAACTTAATTAAAGTTACTGCAGTGGATGACAAAGATTTTGGCTTGAATTCTGAAGTGGAGTACTTTATCTCTGATGAAGGCAAAACTAATAAATTCAGACTGGACAGGAGTACAGGCTGGATTTCTGTGTCATCTTCACTAATGGATGATTTGAACAAAAACTTTCTGTTTAAAGTGAAAGCAAAGGATAAAGGTAATCCACCACTTTCGTCTGAGGTAGCTGTTGAAATAGTTGTGACAGAGGAAAATTACCATACACCCGAGTTTTCTCAAAGCCGTATGAGCATTACTATCCCGGAGAGTCACTCTGTTGGAACAGTGGTCAGGACGGTTTCAGCCCGAGACAGAGATGCTGCTATGAATGGATTAATCAGATATAATATTTCCTCTGGAAATGAGGCTGGCATCTTTGCTATTAATACAACTACAGGTACACTGACACTAACAAAACCACTTGATTTTGAGTTATGCCAAAAGCACGAGCTAGTTGTTACTGCCACAGATGGAGGATGGGTGTCCAGAACAGGCTACTGCAGTGTCACTGTTAATGTCATGGATGTGAATGATAATTCTCCAGCATTCAGCCCTGAGGACTATTTTCCCAATGTGTTAGAAAATGCTCCCAGTGGGACAACTGTTATTCGTTTAAATGCCACTGATGCTGACTCTGGACCTAACGCTGTGATTGCATATGCTATTCAGTCCTCAGATAGTGACCTCTTTGTCATTGATCCCAATACAGGAACGATCACCACCCAGGGATTTTTAGATTATGAAACAAAGCAAAGTTACCATTTAATGGTAAAGGCTTTTAATGTTCCAGATGAAGAGAGGTGCAGCTTTGCCAGTGTCAACATCCAGTTAGAAGGGACAAATGAATATGTGCCCCGTTTTGTGTCCAAGCTTTATTATTTTGAGGTTTCTGAGGCAGCTTCCAAAGGTACTGTTGTAGGCGAAGTTTTTGCAAGTGATCGTGATATGGGAACCGATGGAGAAGTCCACTACCTTATCTTTGGCAACAGCAGAAAGAAGGGCTTCGAGATAGATGAGAAAAGTGGCCAGATCTACGTTTCAGGACCTCTTGACAGAGAAAAAGAAGAACGAATCTCTTTGAAAGTCCTCGCAAAAAATTTTGGGAGCATTCGTGGTGCAGATATAGATGAAGTAACAGTTAATGTCACTATACTGGATGCCAACGATCCTCCTGTTTTTACCCTAGGAACCTACAATATACGAATCAGCGAGGGTGTTCCTCCAGGCACCCATGTCACGTTCGTGAGTGCCTTTGATTCAGATTCTGTCCCTAGCTGGAGCAGGTTTTCCTATTTCATTGGGTCTGGCAATGACAACAGCGCTTTTTCCATCAACCCGCAGACAGGACAGGTAACAGTCACTGCAGAGCTGGATCGAGAAACATTGCCTGTGTACAACCTGTCTGTGCTTGCTATCGATTCGGGAATGCCATCTGCTACAGGAAGTGCCTCTTTATTAGTAACTTTGGAAGACATCAACGACAACGGCCCTACCTTGTCTACCAGCCAAGGAGAAGTCATGGAGAATAACCGTGCAGGAACTCTTGTAATGACGCTTCAATCATCAGACCCTGATCTCCCTCCTAACCAAGGTCCCTTTACATATTACTTGCTCAGCACTGGCCCTGCAACCAGCTACTTCAGCCTTAGCACTGCTGGTGTGCTGACAACGACAAGAGAGATCGACAGGGAGCAAATCAGCAATTTCTACCTGTCAGTGATTACGAGAGACTCCGGTGTCCCTCAGATGTCTTCTACAGGAACTGTGCAGATCAAGGTAATAGACCAAAACGACAACCCATCTCAGCCCAGAACAGTAGAAATCTTTGTTCACTATTATGGCAACCTCTTCCCAGGTGGAATTTTGGGCAACGTAAAGCCGCAGGATCCCGATGTACTAGACAGCTTCCAGTGTTCCCTCAGCTCAGGAGTCACCAGCCTCTTCAGCATTCCTGGGGGCACCTGTGAGCTGCACTCGCAAGCGAGGTCCACGGATGGCACGTTTGACCTGGCCGTTCTCAGCAACGATGGGTTGCATGGTGCTGTCACCAGCAGTGTCCGGATTTTCTTTGCGGGCTTCAGCAATGCCACCATTGACAACAGCATCCTGCTCTGCCTGAACGCCCACAGCGTGCGTGATTTCCTGACGAATCACTATCTCCATTTCTTGCGCATCGCCAGCTCCCAGCTGACGGGGCTGGGCACCGCCGTCCAGCTCTACGGGCTGTATGAGGAGAGCAACCACACCTTCCTGATGGCGGCCATCAAACGCGGCAACAACCAGTACGTGAATCCCAGCGGCGTGGCTACCTTCTTCGAGAGCATCAAAGATGTCCTCTTCCGCCAGAGCGGGGTGCGAATCGAGGCTGTGGACCACGACTGGTGCCTGCAGAGCCCCTGCCAGAACGGAGGGAGCTGCCTGAGGAGGTTGGCGGTGAGCCCAGCCCTGAAGAGCCACGAGAGCATCCCCGTCATCATTGTGGCCAACGAGCCCCTCCGGCCCTTTGTGTGCAGATGCATGCCGGGGTACGATGGGAGTCTGTGCGAGACCGACATCGACGAATGCCTCCCTTCTCCCTGCCACAATGACGGGACTTGCCACAACTTGGTGGGGGGCTTCTCATGCAGTTGCCCAGAGGGCTTCACTGGCATGGCCTGTGAGAGGGATGTCAACGAGTGCCTTTCCAACCCGTGCAAAAACGGTGCTGCCTGCCAGAACTTCCCAGGAAGCTTCAACTGCATTTGTAAAACTGGGTATACAGGTATGCTTTTCCTTCTCTATATCTTACAGTCCTGAAGAGATGAAAAGAGGGTGGAAACGTGCCTTTTGAGCACAAGATTGTCTGAATATGAGCATCTCCAGTACGTGAAAAGGTCATGCAAAATGAGGTATTTGTTTGGAAAACTCCAAAGACCAGGTGCCCACAGTATCATTCTTTTTTAGCTCTGTCCTCTGGCAAATCTCACGTACCTGATTTGCATTAGAACAGAAAGATTTTTACAAGAGCTATTTTAATTTATTAAATATGTAGAAACCATTTCCAATGCTTAAGTATGATTTTTCTGTTCCTGTTATTGTTATGCATATTGTGGTAGCATTTCAAGTCTGCTCGGAGTGTGCCAAGCAAAAAAATCCGCTCTGCCCCAAATTGCTTACAGTCATACAAGACAGAAAACAGATGAAGGATATAGGAAAAAACAGAATTCAAAGAAAGTGATCAAGCATGTCTGTTCCCTATTTTGTCCCTTTGTCATTTTTTTTCATTAACAACACAAATGTCTGCAGCATTCCTACGTCTTCCGAGTATTTTTTGTCTAATATTTATTACACATTCAAACATAGCAGCATTTTATCCCTAGAAAAAGCAGGCTGATGTTTGCTTTTATCATGACTATGATATTTAAGGAAGGTCTGAACAATTTTAACTGTTGCTTACGGCCACTTTTTACAGACATCATAAAAAAAAAAATCTAACCAGAGAAGATTAGGTAAGGCTTTCATTACCTTTTCTAAGGAGTATTTCTGTATCTCAGATGCCCCAGGGCAGCCCAGGTGGACACAGCCATGTGCATTATGGTGTGGGTATTCAGACTTACTACCACAGCTACCAAAACTCATTTGTAACCAGTGGAGCAATCAGGAGGTTGATTGTTCTTTTGTGTTTTTTTCTTAAACTAGATTAGTACAGGAGATGTCATATACTTCATTGCAAAGGAAAAGGTTAATAATTTTCAAAAGAGAGGTTTAGCTGCTTCATTTAAAGCACAGCTACAGCAGTGGATACATACTCAGTGTGAAAGGTCTGTTGATGTAAAGGACACTGATGTGATCTTTTGTGTGAACCTCACAAATGTACTACTGAGCCTCAGGTCAGGAGTAATTATTGTTAATTGACAAGCAGTTCTAATTAAGGTACCAGTCCGGGATTTTATTTCATGTTCTATTAGTACATCAAATTATTTTGCCAGGAGCATGGCAAAATAATTCTAGGGCACCTATCCCCTGTAACTCTTTAGGTCATTAGCACCAGAGATTAAATGGGCATATGTTTGCTGTTGCAACTCAGCAAAACACTTCATTAAGTCTGGCAGCATACTGTAGTATATGCCTCTAGCCTATAATTTGAAACATTAAAGAAATGTCCAGCTATTTTTTTTCTGGTATTAAAGCTCATATCTTAATGTTCTCAACCCTTATGTCAGCTAAAAATAAAGCTCTCCATGTGGCCAACTTGAAAAAAGAAGAACGTTTTAACTAAGAAAACGTGATGAGAGACTCTTACAGTTTGAAGTGTTGGATTTCTTTCACACCATGAATTAAATGTGGCATCTGATACGAGCTTGCTTAAAGCTCCTTGTCAACACAAATAACTTTAAAATAGGCTACCACTGAGGCAGACGTTTCTATTTGCGAGTCAGATCTTTTTTAATCGGCTGGCCATTGCAGAATCAAGAATTATTTAAGTGTCTGGATATTAATTGATCAAGACAGAAAATAAATGGCACCAAAGGATGTAATTAAAACCAAAAATATCTTCAGAGTTGAATAGCAGCAGAGCTTATTAGATAAGATCACCATTAATATTCAGTATAGTTAGACATTTTATGTCTGCAAAAGCATATTTGAAATTCTGCAAATTTAATATTCAATAGGTTCTGCAACAAATGTCAGAATACAGATTGTTTGAGAATGCTTGACAGAGAGACTATTATGTCATTATTATACTGCCAACAGAAAGAGAACACAGCTCCTTGGGCGTTTAATCCTGATTCATATATGATTAAAGATAGCCATAGTGAATGTAAAAATAAAGCCTGAAACTGTTTCTTTATGAATATAAACCTTGAGTGCCTCAGCAAAAAAAAAACAGACATCCAAAACAGTGGATGTCTAATTCAGTTTACCATATATATAGCTTTGCTGCTTCTCTTAGAATAAAAATACAGTCTCATAATTGAATTTGCATGCTCGGTAAAAAAAATAATATTTACACGGTACTGCATACAAGTAGAAATTAGTATTTTCTGAGACAGACTCTCTATTCACTGTAAATTAGAGTACATGAGCTGTAGACCCTTATAATGGCCTACCTGAAAACTGAGAGTCTTACTTTTCCTTGATTTATTATGTTTTGTCAGCTGCATTTCACTTCATCATACTGCAAAGGTAATGTAGTCTTTTCACTGAATAGGATTATAAAGACTGATTACCTCAGAGTAACATCATTAGGATTTAAACAATCTGTTATAATTACATCTCTTAATGATGATCAGGTTTTGTTTTGAAAATAATCACTTTCTGGAGTGAATATACTTTGTGATTTACAGTAGTTGTCTGCCCTTCCTTTGAACCTCTCATTTCCTGTTTTTCAGGACTCATTAAGATGAAGGAATGTAGGTTTGTGAAATTGTTTCAAATGCAAGATTAAAATATTACTGTCCTGCTTTCAGCTGGGATAGAGTTAATTTTCTTCCTAGTAGCTGGTACAGTGCTGTGTTTTGGATTTAGTATGAGAATAATGTTGGTGACACCTGGATGTTTTAGTTGTTGCTAAGTAGTTGTAGAGCTTATACTCAGTCAAGGACGTTTCAGCTTCCCCGGCTCTGCCAGTGAGGAGGTGCACAAGGAGCTGGGAGGGGGCACAGCCAGGACAGCTGACCCAGCCTGGCCAAAAGGATGTTCCCTACCGTATGCAGCATGTTCCGTATATAAACTGGGGATGGCTGGGGGTGGGAATCGCTGCTCGGGGACGGGCTATCAGTCACTGGGTGGCAAGCAGTTGTTGCACTGTACATCACATATTTTTGTTTATTATTTTTATTGTTGTTATTTCTTCCTTTGCTTTATTATTATTTCTGCTTCCTTTACTGTTTTTATCTCGGCCCACGAGGGTTTTTCTTCTGATCCTCTTCCCCAACCCACCTGGGGACAGGGAGGCTAGTGACTGGCTGCCTGGTGCTTAGTTGCCAGCTGGGCAATTAGAATGACCACTTTAAAAAGGTGGACATAGAGAACCCCCAAAACTAAAACTCTCAAATCAGCTGAAATCTAACCCAAGAGCGTTCAGCTGGTATCTGTTTCTGTTACATTTTTCAATTAAAAAAAAAAAAAATTCTCAGGAAGTTAGATTTTTGCATAAGCCCCTGCATGTGATATCATCATCTTGAGGTGATGAATGATAAATGCTGAATGCTGTCTGTTATCAATTATCCAGCATTATCCTAATTTTCATGGTCTTCAGACAAAGATCTTTCTGACACAAAAATGAATACCCCAAATCTTCCAATATTTCACCTGAGAAGAGATCTATAAAATCAACTGACTGGGGTGGCTCTAATTTGGAGTTTCCTTGGTTCCCAAAATGTTGGCTGAGACGTTTCCTTCCCCTCCCTGATTTGATACCCTGAAACACTAATCAAACATATGTCATTAGCTTAATTCTGTATGCTTTATGCTCATAAAATGATTCCACAGCTGAGAAGTGCATAATAGTCTGAATGTGTGAAAATGCTTCTTGAAAACTGACTTGGTTAAGCCGTGAAAATGCATACTTCTCATAATTTTTTGAGGAACATTACTTACATGGGATAAAGGTCTATCAGAACATTACTCTTAAATTCATGTTGTAAAACTTAAATCATCAGACTGTTGTGCAAAATGACCTCTGAAAACCAAAACTGCTCTAGCTTTGTGAGGTTAAAATCATTGACTTCACCTTTCTGGAAAGCAGTAAAACTGAGCACTTGGGTTCAGGTGAGGATGCTTTTATGCATAGTGGCAAACAGTGTCCTCTGCAATCCAGTAAGGTTCCTTGAATGATGTTTTATCTGTGCAACAGAGAATTTCAAAATAGCTAGTACTTGTGTAATTTCTCTACTCAAGAACAATAGTCCTCTCCCCCCCCCCCCCCCCCCCCTAAAAAATAGTATCTAAATATAAGCATAGTATCTTAGGCAGAACAGGGAAAACAATGGATTTGCAAGCTACATTTTATTTTTCCAAATCCAAATCTTTAGTGCACACCTTATAGTGTACTTTCACCCATGAAACCTGTAGGCCATCAGGGTGAACCTGAACAAATGCACTCTTTTACTAAGGTACTAGAAAGCTAGCATTAGCGTGCTGCAAAGGAGATGACTGAAAGTGGTAGGACACCCTGCTGCCATCTTGGGTGGCTCTACTTGCTAGAAGAATAAGGTGTTAAAAGAAAACGGTTGAAGTCTAGTAGAAGTTGCAGGACCAAGTACAACGTAACTGGCATCACAGCAACTTCTCTGGAGGAATCCCCACAGTGAAGAAAAGACAACCAAGAGAAAAACCCTGAGCAACCTGATCTCACTCAGAAGGTTGCCTTGCTTTCAGTGGGGGTTGGACATCATGACCTCCAAGGTTCCTCCAGCCTAACTATTTTCATGATTTCTGGAGTATATGTCCTTGTTCAGAGGTCTAGAAAAATCCACTTCTGCCAGTCAAGTGTGGGCAATAACACCAGAGGGAAAAATAGGGGCACAGGAGGAACATGGTTTAGATGAAAAGGGAAGAGTAAGAAGGTGCAGTTTGAACACTGGTGGACCATCCGAAAACCAGGAGTTGATGGAAACTCTGGATCTTGGCAGAGTAACCAATGCAGGCTGTCAATGATAGCTTGAAATATGGAGACCTTCCCTTAGAGGATGGATGAGGAATGCGTGAGAGTTTCTGTCTCAAAGGAGTCTAAGGAGGGACTGACCAAAGATCTGAAGGTAGCAGGAAATTTGGATTAGTTGATCAAGTTCAGGATTCTGCAGTAAGGAGGGAATTGAGGCTTTGTAGCAGCAACTGTCTTCAGAAGCAGCTGATGTTAGGTAATTGGTAGGTAAGGTTGCCTGGAGGGATACGCATAGAAGAAATTCAGGAGCTGGAAATTTTTAGAAGAAAGAAAAGCTATAACTAAAAATTATCTTTAAGCAGGAGAAAAAGATGGATGTCTAAGAGTTTTAGTATTTTTTTAATTGAAAATGAGTTATATACTAAATAAAAATAAGTTTGTGATCTTTTGGTAGTTACATGACATTATATTACACTGTCTACCTCCTTTATTTATTTATCAGTTTCTAGTTTATAACTCTCATCATCTGTTTACCAGGTTTATCTAATGATCTTGCTTTATCAAAGTAATTTATTTTAATTCCTTATACAGAACAACCATAGTGATAAACCAGAACAGTGTTCCCAAGTTATACTTTTGTCCTGCTGATATCTGTCTAACGTGCATTTAAAGAGGGAAAAATAATCTTCATCAACATCATTTGTTGGATCATTATTCCAAATATAAATAGATATATTTTTTCCAAATCTTTAGCACTTCAGTGAATGGCAAAAAATAGCTGAAATTTCATCTTCGTTTTAAATAAATATTAGTTTTAATAGCTCTGATGAATTGTTTAATCAGAATATTCGTCTTCTCCTGTGTCAAAACAGTTAGAATAAATGCAAACACAATTTTATTAGTTTCATGAATTATTCAAACAATTGTTAAATATGAAGATGATGTTGTTATTCACTGGTTAAAGTATGTGCAGCTAAAACAAACATCCATATTCTGTTGCTGACTCAGCAAATATACCATCTTTAATGTTAGCTGAGAAAAATAAAAGTATTTAGATTGAATTGCAAAAAACTGAGTAAGCCTTATTAGCTACACTTGATTTTTGTGAAAACTAAGAAACATCATTGAGCTAATTTAAGCATCTGTACCTCACTCTTGCTACATGTTCTCTTCAGTAAGTCAAAGATCTGTACTATGTACCATCATTTTATAATAAAGAAAACAGCAAAATCTAAGAAGTTAGCTCATCCTTCAGTCATGCCCATTAGAGAATAAAATATAAATAAATAGCCCCAAAGCATAATTAGATTCAGACACTGGAAATGGTTCCTGGATTTATGGTGAATCTACAAGTTACGTATTAACCACAGGAATCCTCCAGCGCTCTGTTTCCATCCTGCTTGCAGTCACATATGGAGGGCTGCTGCTCACACGGAGGAACTGCCTGCAAACTTCTTTATGTTAAACAGAAAAGTAGAGAGGAAAAAAAAGAGGTTTTCTTAGTTAGGTGACTGAAGTTGTGAAATGCTGAAAAAGCTAGCAGAGTTAATATAGCACAGTCCTGATTTGCTGCGGTTTTAGGGACCAGCAGTTCCTGAGGACGCTGCATATTGTGCGTTGCTGCCATGTGAGATGTAAGAATTATGAGATGCATGTGACATGTAAAAATGGACAGCCTCTATGCAAGCTCATGTTCTATTTTTAACTTAAATGTATATTACATTTATATGGTATGAGGAATAAAATAATTCATCATCAGTGAAATAAGAAGCATAAGGCAGTCTTAACCTTTGCTATGTGTATATATCCTGGCCTAGACGAACTTCAAGGAGAGGTCTGGAAGAATGTAGCTGATTTTGCCAGTTTTTTTAGAGACACATGAGAGACAAACATAACGATACTTTCAAGCTTTTGCTGAGCAGGCAGCGAAGGCTGGCACTGCTGGCAGAAGGAAGGCAGGTACAAAGAGTGATATGTAGTGGAAGTGTTACTAAACTGCTAAAAGATAAGCAATGAGTGAAGATCAATACTTTTCTAGGTAATGTTTCCACACAAAGAAAATTTTAGTTTTGTATGAAGCATCCCCTTGTCAGTATTCAGCATCTGTTAAAAGCTTCACTTTTTTTCTTGGTTCCCTTCCTTGTTGAAATGAATTATATGATTTCAGTTTAATCTCTGGTGAATAATATTTACCACATGTGACGATGTCTGCTTAGAAAAGGACTGTATCCAGGGTAACTTGTTTTAGCTCCAGAGGACTGTGGTCCCTTTGAGTCAGGAAAGAGATTGTAACTGATGAGGAAAAATAAGAAAAATCATATAATGTACAGTAGCAGCCTGTGTTCAGCATGCTGTGTTCATACAGGGTCAAGCAAGGGCTATCTCCTTCACACTAATGAGTACATTGCATTCAACAGGGGAGATACGAAAGATTTTTTTTTTAATTTTTTTTTTTTTTTTTTACTTCAGCATCTCTTTCCATTTCATGATCTCTCTCTTATGGACACCAGTTGATTTAAAAAAAAAAAAAAAAGAACAAACCGCTAATACCTATATGAGATAATTACAGTGAGACACTCAAAAAGTAAAGTTAATTCCTCTGGGCCATTATTACTATAATGCCCATGTCAGGGCTGGGAGCAACCCAGCACTGTCTCTGTCTCTGTGTTTCCCATCCCACAGCCACAACTGGTCCCTGGTACCCTTCCTCCTGGCCATGCATTCACACTGGTTCGTAAGCTCATTACCTAAACACCAACCTGACTTTCCTATTGACCTGCATACTCTGACCTGGAAATTGCTTTTATTCTCTAATCACAGGGAAAACGTGTGACTCCACTATCAATTATTGTGAGTGCAACCCCTGTTTCAATGGTGGATCCTGCCAAAGCGGGGTGGAAGGGTATTACTGCCACTGCCCCTTTGGTGAGTACTCCTTTCCTCCTCTCTGCTTCATCTTTCCTTTCCCTGTTAATATTTCTCAAATGGCTATTTATTTTTACCTATATAAAACTGACGGGTGTGCATATGGATCCTGGTCCATGGGCATGTGTTGGTCATCTCTTGGCCCCATCCTCTCTGGTTTTCCCCAGCTGCAAGAGAGAGAAGCTGATATTTCTGCAGGCATGTGGCAGTGTGGAGGGGGTCACTGTGGCTGTGGTGGGGGGCACAGCGAAGGCTCAGAGCAGCGCTTGCTCTCCTGCCTAATAACAGACACTTTTAGGAGAGCTGAAGAGTAAGACCACTGTAAATTCTTGAGTCCTATGCACTTGCAAAGTGCAAGGAAGTCATCATAATGTTAAACTAGAAAAAGGGACTTTGGGATGATATTGAGTGGTGAGGGCTTGGTTTTCTTTTGAGAAATGTATATAGTTTGTCAAAATATCTGTAAAGCAAGAATTAGAGAGCACCCACATTTTTCTGCAAGTGAGGAGCACAACATTAGATATTGGCACTTTTCTATTTAGTAGATTTGATTAGGAGAACCTGACCAAATCAAAACAGCTTTGTCAGCCCACAGCAGTACTTGCCTGTTCAATTTATTGTATGTTAATAAAGTTCATGAGTTCCAAAACCAGAGCACTATTCTGAGAATTAGAGATGCATATAGTACTGCAAAATAGTTTAATAATTATTAGAATTTAATTATCCCAATTTTTTTTTTGTGGAATGAACCCAATAAAGACATAAAACAATACAGATGTTTTAAGATATCATGACATAATTGCAGCAAGATTCGTTCTGAATGGAGATTAGTCCAGAATTGTCATTGTTCATACAGAAAAGCATGAAAGTACATGCAACAGATTACTCGAAACACAGATGAACCTGAGAAATCATCTACAATGTTTTAGGGTTGCTGAAAAGCCTCACACAAAAGTATGGTTCTCAATACATATTTATAACAACCTCTGAATATGGTTTTCTACTAACATGTGGAATAACTTCTTTATTCTCTTTTATTTCCTTTGGTTTATGTTTCCTCAGAGTTTATTCATTTCCTATATAGTCATAGTTCATTGTAAATGTAACTAATATTAATAAATTAGGTAAATTTTTTCTCATTGTCACTGCAGTAAAAAAATCAAGGGAAATTACGTGACAGAGATCTGAAAAGAAATATGTAGAATTCCCATCAATAAAAATACTGAGAAGGCGTAATGTTTTAATCACATACATGTTTATATCAGAAGTATAAAAAATGAACTACTGATTGAGAAACAGTTCAGATAACAGCTATAAAGTGAAAAATAAGCTCAAGTTGCAAGTTTATTTCCATAACTGGATTAACAAATGCTCGATGACAACTAGCAACCGTATTTGACATAGCTGTCAAACTTGCGTTTTTTTATTTTCTAAAGAAACCATAGAGGCTCAATGAAGTGTACTTTGTTTTTTAATAGATGGAACTGTCATTTGTAACTCAATTTTTAAGTTTAAATATATAGACTTCAACACCCACCTGTGGGTAATAGGATTCTTCTGTTCAAGTTGCATATTTTTAATCATACATTAGGGGTTTCTTAAAAAGCCTGTGTATTGTAGCCATATCTAGAGCACATCAATACTTTGTTTCTGGGAGAATGCTCAGTAAGGAAAAAACTATCTGATACCAGATTTTACTTTTAATTTTGCAGGTGTTTTTGGGAATCATTGTGAACTGAACAGTTACGGATTTGAAGAGTTGTCATATATGGAGTTTCCCAGTATGGATCCAAACAATAATTACATCTATATAAAGTTTGCCACTATAAAAAGGAATGCCTTAATGTTGTATAACTATGATAACCAAACTGGAGAGCGGGCAGAATTTCTGGCCCTGGAAATAGCAGAAGAGAGGCTGAGATTCTCTTACAATCTTGGCAGTGGCACATACAAGCTTACCACAACTAAGAAGGTGTCTGATGGACAGTTTCACACAGTTATTGCCCGGAGGGCTGGAATGGTAAGAAATGCTAAAATGAGGATTTAAGACAAGTTCAAGCCAAGTCACTTTGGCTTCCACATGAACTCGGAGGAACATAAAATTAGTAACATTGCATTTGCTAGAAGAACCTCCAACTTTGGAAAAAACCTCCCTCGATCCTGTCTTACTCCAGCTGACTTGAAGACCTATAATGGTTTGTTTAGTATGACGATGGTAAAGAATAATTAAAAAAACATGCGCAATGCCTGGTACTCTAAATGTGAATAATGAGAACTAGGAATAATGAATTAAATAAATTACTACACATGAGGCTAATTAACTGATGCAGATTACAGGGATGATTACCAGGGAAGGCTAATTAACCATAGTAACTACAAAAAGCCTCAAAATAATTTTTCTCAACATTTGGAAAATAGAAGCAGACAATCTTAAAATTCCAGGTGTCCCTGACCCCCCTTGAGCTAGTTCAGAGATTTTACAAAAGACTGGAAGCCTATTTTTCTTCTGTAGCATACATGTAAAAATTTCAAAGGCTCTACTTTGAGAGGGTTTTCTGGGGGGAAAAAGGGGAGTTTTTTCTTTTTGTCCCCTAGAAAGCATCTGAGGGGAGGAATTCTGCCAAAAGCTGGACTGGCTGGGACAACCGATTGCCATATGCCTGGTATTCTTGACCCCTCTCCTGCCTTAATTTTTTTTCCCAGTAAATGTTTTCTATTCCTCTTCTCTCATTTTAAAATAATATTTCCAAAGCAGAACATAAACCAAATGCTCTTTGAGTTCAAGCCAAGCTTTTTGATTCCACAGTGTTTGAGTTTGAAATGAAACCAAATCTATTTGCCATCCATAATCAGTAACAATTGCCCAACAGCTCCCTTCTCAGGCAGAAGCAGACAGCATAGGTGGAATCCCATATTCTGTCCATGTTTGAAATTAAAGTCACATAAGAATAGTATACAGTTGGGGCTCCACATTTTGTTTTATGTATTTCAAGTCAGTAATGATGAAGGGAATATAAGAATAAACTCTTCTATCCAGTGTGGCTTCCCCTGAGTCCTTGTAGAGATTTCCCATCATGAACTGCTGCTGAGATAGAGCGCTTTTTTAGTTTTAAACTGCTCAGTTTAGAGCGCTCTGCTGAAGAAATTGAGGTCTAGGGCGAGATGTCCATAGGCACAAAAGTCCTGAGAGCAGCGGAGGGATATATTACCTCATGGTTTGGGGACCACCCTTGTAGGACCAGAGTTGTCTCTCTCCTGACCTTTCTAAATGGTACTTTTTTCTTCTCTCTCAGAGAGTCTTGAGCCTGAAACTGTATTTCAACTGCATAGTGCAAGACCTGATTTCTCCATTTATTGAAGGGGGGATGGTTTAGTCTTCAGACAGCTTTTCAAATCCAATTTGAATGTGTTTGTAGGAGTTCTATATCCAAATAAGATGAAGGATAATTGTGATGTTGATTAATTACTTTGTTTTAATGTGCCTTAATATCAGATACTTAATAATTTGCATCGCAGCTTCCAAATGGGAAAGCCCAAAGGTGCATCTAAATCTTGAAAGGCACCAGGTTCCCATTTTAGCAACTAAATTAGTGTGGTATTTCCATCAATAAGATGGCTAACTATAGGAGCACACCTTAAAAATTGCAGCAAATCAATTAAATACACTTAAGGAAAAAATAGAGCAGGAAAATGTTTTACTTGTAGATATGCCAGAGGGATAGACTATAGAAGAAGAGATAACACAAAAAGCATTATTTACAGAAAATTCCAGTTATGAATGCTTCATACTGAAAGCAAACATTTAAGACAACCTATACCTTTGTGTGATTTTTTTTTTTTAAATGTTTAAACCTTCTCAGTAATGTCAGCTGTTTACAAACACAGTTATGTGAAAAGAATCGCCTTTGTCTTACATATTTCTGCTGCAGGAAAAATGTCTCCCAGATGTCCAAAACTGTATAAAATAGCCCCCCTTCAGGATTCCAAATCTGTCATTTCCTACAGCACAGTGGGATTTTATCGGAAACTGGTAAAATCATTAAGTTGTCAGTCCTGAGCTATTGCAGAGTGACAGGATAGAAAGTCTCATAATGCGGCAAGGTAACCGTAGAGTAATGCTTAAGTAACAAGCAGGAACATGTGACTAACATTAGAAAATAAATTGTATGAACTCTGGTCCAAGGAAAATATATTCTCAAATATCTAGCCCTTCAGCTGGGGTTGTAGCTTGGCTTTCACAGCACATAGCGGTGTAAGTTAGGGAGATTTTGCTGATTGAGCTAAGAACAAAAAACTAATTTCATTTTTTGTTGTTGATATTCTGAAGGAAAGTAAGTATATGCGTGATGGCATACTGACCAGCCAACTTAATATTCTTTCTATGAATTGTTTCATTTATACAGGGCTGTAATCTGCTTTGGAAGTGCAGACTGATGTTTCTCAGGAGAAGCAGTTTGCTCATTGTGTATGAAAAGAAATTCAAGATAAGCTTTCATTAAAAATAGCAAATTGAACAATTCAGACGTACTGTAGGGCATGGTTTAGGGCTAAGAGCTATGAATTTATTTGGTCAATACAATGCGTCAGCTCACAGTATGTATTTGGAAATAGCATGGACAATTTTTTTCAGGACATTGTTAGTGAACTTAGTTGCAGGCAGGAAAAAAAGCCATTGCAGAGTAATGACATACAGATAGCTATTGCTGTTTGCTCAGCTCCTGTAGAGTAACCTAAATCAAAAAATAAAGCAAGGCATTTTTAAAAGTGACGTTTGGTTTAAATTTGCTGTAAAACTGTACCACACATCTAGTTGAAACATGAGAAGCTGATATGTACAATTTGGAGATTATGTTTATTTTTCTGAAAATTTGTTTTAAGGAATAACTAACCAGGGTTTTTTTGCAGCGCATCTGTTATTAATAAATCGCTGTGGGGAAAATTCTTTGCTAAATAAGTAATAAAATAA